TCGCCCGCCGCCCGCTGCCATGTGCTGCCTGTTGCTGCTCCGGTGATTGACAGGCCGGCCCACAGTCGGCGTGTCAGCAGCGAAGCAAAGCAACATGCAGTCCTGCACGTTTTTGCCTAAGTGCTTTTACCCCTTGGAATGCCTAGGAGTTCCAGCCACGTTCAAGCAACGCCTCTGCGCACTGGAAATCAATACCCAGAGACGGGAAATTCAGGTTTTAAACCATTGTTAAGCCTGGGAGTCGGTCGCCAACAATGCCTAAATAAACACGCATTTGGTCCCCACGTCGAGTGCCAGCCCCTCCTCGGTACACATGGCCCTGTGTTTCACACATCCGACCGTTTCAGACTTAAACTTGTTACTGGTCGGTTAAGGGAAAAAGTGAAAGGGACCTTGCTTTTCTTTTAGAGGTAGCATTTACTTTAAGAATGTTGCTTTTAGCAATGGGAATGCCACTGGTGGTTTGAAACGCAACCAGTGGTCTCGGCTCTAGAGTGCGTTGAAAGTAAACGCTCAGTTCCTTGGAAAAGCCCATACTTCTCACCTTATCTTTCCAAAAATGCCTACGAAAGGAAAGGAAGGAAACGGTTCTTACCTACTGCAAAGATTGGAAATTGCTTTTCAGGCACATTTACAGCGACTTGTAGCTGTTCCTTATCCAGGGCAGGGAGAGTTGTCTGCTGCTATCTGCAAACCACTGCGTGCCTTACAGGACGATCCCACTCTGGCTCCGCAGAATTTCAGCTCTTCGCCTCCACCTCCACCTCCACTCCAGGACACGCCTCCAGTGATATCATGTGTCAATCACACGGGCTGCCCGAAAACCTGGAACAGGATTTCCTCAATTGTCGTTTCCTCTTTCGTTTATGTGTACGAACTTGGACGCGTTTCCCTATAAACCTGGGTAATAAACATCCTCCCCAAACTTGGAATTGCCTTTGCAAATTCTATAAATGCAATTTGCGATCATGGAATACATTTGAATTTAGTCTTTAGTTACAGATCTCAAAGGTTTGGTGGGCTCCACCCTTAAATTTAAAAAACTGTGAACAATAAAAGATGAAAAAGGTTATATGCCAAGTCATTACTTATGGTCAACTAAAGAGAAAATGAATATAGAATTTTTTAAATGGTAATATACTATTATAGTTTTTACTTAAAATAAGGTTCAGAATATGTGAATTCTGAAAGTTCAAGAAGTGGTAGTCTTACTGCAAATGTATTACAACAATATGTGATAAAGGTGTAATTTCCTGCTGTGAGTTTTTAAATAATTGGTCTAGTTTGGCTTCTGATATAATTTCCCCCAAATCTATCATATGAAATCTCAAATTCCTTCCATTTTGTAGTATACTTTGCACAACCAAAAGCCAGCTAGTTTATTTTTCAAAGTTGACTCTGTAAAAGGCAAGGATAAAAACAGAAATAGTTTACCAAGAAGTTTTATCATTCTTAATAATATATGAAGTGCCCAGGAAAAATTTTAAAATGTAGTAAGTAGGAAATTTGCCTTTTGTTGCCTTACAATTGGAATTTAGACATTTATTATCAAAATCACGCAGTTCATACTGCAGTGAGGATGACTATATGAGATATTTAAGTTTCCATAGAAACTTTTAAAAGATTCCTAAAAACCAAAAACATAGAGTTGGTGGAAAAGAAATATTTTCCCAGGTACTGCCTATCAGGAGTAGCTTAAAGCCTTTGGCAAAAGAAAGCAAAGAAAAGCAAAACTCAAGAATCTAAATCATATATAAATTTGAGTGTGGAAAATTTCAGTATAAAGTAATTTTTAAAAATCTTCTTTATAATAACAACTGATTCCATTGAAACCTTTTCTTGATTTGGGAAGTTGTGTATGTTTTTTGATAGCAGATTTTCAAATGTCTCAACACTTTCAAAAATTCAGTTATCTTTAAAATTGCCTCCAAGGAACCTGGGCATTGCTAAGAACAACAGGAAAAAAAGCATTACTAGAAAATGACAGAATAAGAGTGGAGCCAAGAAGCTACATAATCATCCTTAATATTATAAATTGCCCTAAAATGGGCTATTTAAAAGCATAAAGATTTTGATGTGTGTGTGTGTGTGTGTAATTTTTTTTTTTTTTTTGTAGATCTCATTAGATGTTTGGGCTACATGACATTTTGCTGTTGAGGAAAGGTTTCTTGTGAATGGGTTTGAAATAATCAAGTCAGAAATAGAACTTCACATTAGATCTTTGGCTCTTCAGAACTGCCTTCTCAGCTATTCACAAATTTCAAATGAAAGGTCAGTTCACCAATGGGATAAAACCAGGAGAGGGAGCATGGAACATTCTACTTCCATAAAGTCTGCAACACAATATTTGAAATATTGCTATTACAAATACGCTTCCATTTCTTTCAACCAGAGACGCATTAAAATAATTTTCATGAGATTAAATGTTTCCTAATTATAAAAATAAAATCCATGAGCTTTCATCTAATAGGTCATGTTCTATTTAGAAATCAAATAGTACATTGGACGAAGCCAACTAATGACTCTTTACATCACTTAACACAAAACACACAATATGTTTTCCTCTAAATATTACATTACAAAGAGATGTAAGTACAAACTTGTCTCTCTGGATCTAGAAGACCTTCAACAAGAACTTTCTCTCCTTTTAACTGACTACAACTCTAAGACCTTGTAGAAATTCTAAAAGTTTAGCTTAAAAATTGACATTGTTCTTTATTTAGTAAGTTTAATTACAAGGGACCTTGGCTAGAAATGAACAACTAGAGTCTGAGATTTTTCTGAGAAGGAAAAACAATGTCAATATCAATGGGAAAAATCTTATAATAAGTTTTAGTTTACTATATTAAGCTATGTTTGAATAGGTGGAATGGAAAATGAGCTGACTTGTTCATGTGAAAACAGCCATCTCTTCTGCTGATTTGATTTTTGAAAAAGAATCAAGTGGAAATGAACAAAATCTGGCAACTCCTCATAACTGCTAGTGATTTTTAAAACTTTAGTAGAATGCTAGGAGCCTTATCGCATTCCTTGATCTACTGTATTTCCCAAAATAGAAATAGCAGAACCATCATGTGTTCTATGCTTTTGAAAAATGATAACTGATTCTCTGATGTTTGTGAAGTCATGGTTATAAATATAGTACCATCTTTTAACCTGGTGAGAAACAACAAACAAAATAATCGTAGAATTTGATAAGCGAATATATAAGA